CATATTATTATTACTATTATAATTTTAGACTAATGAAATAAATTCTTAGACAAAAAAAAAAAAGACATTGAGCACTAGCAACACAAGCTATCGGCTCTAATTAATATAAATGTACATTAGAAATTGAGCCCAATAGTCTTAATAAAGTAATATATTGAATTGATATTCTGTTCTGAAACTGATTTTAGACTGTCCAAAGGGTTAATCGTTCCAAATGCAATACTTCTAGCCGAGGAAGAGTTAAGGCAGTCGCAGATTATGTGAGAATTTGTCCACAATTTGGCATAAAAATGCACTACCGCACCTAAAAACAGGACGCACTCCACATTTGCCCGGATCGATCAATGGAAACTTGAAAGAATTAGAAAACGATTTTGAAAGTAACCATAACCTCTTCGTGAACACGACGATGCCAGATAGAAAAGTATGGCAAGCAACGTATCGCATATATTCATCTAATATTTGCTACAAATAATTAATCACGCCGCCTAAAAACTCATACTTAAATTTGTTTTGACTCGCCGCCTAAAGAACTCTTTATGATTCTAGAGATTATTAAGATTTTTCAGCATCATTATATAAACCATCGAAAGCTTTGTACACCCTTAACGTTTCCGATCCCAAAAGTTTTTTTCTAAATACCGAAAGATCCCCAATCCACAAAAAGATAATACAGAAATCTAAAATTTTAGCGCATACACTTCCACTTTGCCCATTGCGTGGACTCAACCTCGAAGGCATGAGTGATTGCACTTAAGAAAAAACAACAGCATTCTAACTTTGATGTCCATATCTTATAACATAAAAAAGATTTCAAACGTATTGCGCGAATAGGCAAAGTCCCCTGAGTGATTGGTCATATTATCAATAATAGAAAAGAACTTTATTTCAATCATTTTTAGCTTTACGGCACTTTTTCAATTAACAAAAAGAAAAACTATACGTTGCCGATACTGGAGCAAAATCTCAATGAAATAAATTGAATTTCTTTGCTTCAAGCTGTATTTAAACGATCCGTCAAATCGGTTTCTGTGCTGAAGATAATTTGAGTTTAAAAACAAATCAATCATAAACGAAAAATTGTCGGGGCATAAGTGTACTTCCGAGTGGAAAACACCCGTGAATGTCACTGCCAAAAGCGTTTCCTCCTTAATACTAGGAAAACTCATACAATGTTTATCCCGTTTAATCCATTCATACTTTTACATATCCAGATGGGGAACTATGTAAATTGATCTCCATTATCCGATAGTCAATCTTTCTTAGAAAGCGATATTTTTGCTTGAGATTAATGATCGGAAATGCAAAATCTTCACTAAGCTAAGCCTAAGCATTTATTATATATGTCATGTAAACCATAGAAAGTGCGTACGCGTCAGGCCAAGAAGAGAAATCATCTCAAGGTACAAAGACGACTTTTCGGCAGCGGCAACGGATCAATGAAATCCACTTATGTTCGAACTTTCCATTGGCTATAAGAGTTTGCACAGTCTATGCCCATTCCAGTTCTGATACTATATACACAAATTGGAAAAAATGTTGAGATCTGTACTCATACCGGGTCAAAAATACCCGGTTGCGATGAGTCGCAAAGTATAGAGAGCCAAGAATTCATAAAGACATTATATAGCACACTATGCTTTACAAAACGTACGTAAATACGCCTTTTGGATATGTTACGGATTTTTGCATATGATCTTATAAATATGCAAACTCTTACGACGGCCAGGAGGCATTTTTTGGGTATGTTACGTTTAGCAAGTTAGTTTATGACCTTCGCATGTTCCGCTTTTATAAAAACTAACCTACTACGGGATATTACTAAATTGAAAAAATTGCGATAAGAAACAATGCTTACCATTATGGGGCACGATCGCAATGATCTCGTGTGTATATATATATATCATATATATATATTTTTTATATGTGTATTTACAAGGTCTGTTAAGTTAATGCGGACGCCTGTGTAACATCCATAAAGCCTTACGATAAATCCATTTTTTAGTGTACCGATCGTTTAAGAATCATGGCTTTATGTCAGACTGTCAATCTGGCCGTATGTCTGTTCTTCCAATTTTGTATTCAACATACAAATCGCACAAACAAAGTTTACATTTTTTTTTAAATTTCCTTTCGTTTTTAGACTAAATAAAAAAAAAATTATCGACAATAGGTAGATATTAAAAGTTTCATTGTAAGCTAAGTATAATTTGTTTCTTAATTAATTTTCATTTACTTTTTTTTTATTTTTTTATTTCCTTCGTTGCTGTCTTTAAGATTATGTGACTGTGCTGGTTATTTGGGTAACATTGTCGGCATATATTGACTGAATTGCTTGTAAAGATATAAATACATCTGTAACCAATATAATGAACAGATCGCTTAAAGGGTAGAAACATTAAAATTTATTAATCGAATTTGTATTTGACGATAATTAAATTCCTTAAAGCTTATATATTTTTGTATACTTTCTGTATACAGAGTTCAATAAAGTGCGGCCGCATTTCAAATACAATTTCTTACACGTATACAATCGTGTTACACCATTACGATGAAAGCCCATATGGTAATCACATCTTGCAGCAACATAATAAAATAAAGTTTTTACTATAAAAAAGCTTCGCCCTGATAAGGGTTTATAGTTAAACTAGGAAAAACTCTTTAGTGGGACTCGGCCCACAGTTAAATACCGTCATAATTCTATTCCAAAACGACTCGATTTCATATCATGTCAACAGTGATTCGCAATTGGAAATTCATTCGATCAGACGCTTGACTCTTAACTCGTGTCGTACCCAAATAGATAGCCTGTTTTTGCATATGTACCTTTATGTAAATGGTTGAAATGTGTTGTTTGATCGACGTTTACTTCCGCAGTCATATCGTTGGTCTTCCTCGATTTTTTTAAGAATTTCACTGACTTTTTCAACAACATTCCATACAATATCTGATTTCAAAAAATCTCTATGTAAATATCTGTAAGGTCCTGTAGGGACTTTAATGCTGGGCCGTAGCCCACTAAGTTGTTTTCACTTGTTTTCTATTTTGCTTTAATTACCTTAGGACATTGATGCTTCGGGCTTTAATATGACCTGAGACATATACTATCATAAAAGTTACAAGAGTCTAAAACTTTTTCTTTAACCCTGGGTTTGGGTATTGATATTGTCTCACTTCAGTTTGCGTCTTTTTATGTGGGAAAGATTTGCTAGACTTTGACGAAGTTGTAGAAAAACCTTAAGCCTTAAAACCCTTTATTAATAACGCTTTAGCAACGATAAGGAGAGGTGTAGAAGAATAGCAAGCTTCTTCGAAAAATCCCAAATTCAGATTGAGTTAAAATAAAAGAAAGCCTGAGAAAACTTTAATAAATCTTCAGAAAGTCGTAGAAAATGTTGGAAAATCTCGAGAAAGTTTTAGAATTCCTGATAAAGCGTTAGAGATGCTTCCAGACAAAAGTATTTTTGAAAATATATTTATTTTTTTTTACAATTTATTTAATTTTTCATAATCCGTTGAGCATGCACAACTACATCAGTACGTGAAATAATTGATCCAATAAAAGAAAAGATAAAAAAAAAGAAAACTTTCATCAGTTCATTGATTAATTTATTGATTCTTCGGCTATATAACATATGCAAGTTTACTTAGTAGGAGCGTGGAAGATATTAATATGAAAATGTTTATAAATAAATATTAAAATGCGAAGACAACAAATGCCTAAACAATTGAAAAGGTATTGAAAGAAACCCTTTAACTGTGAAAATATTGACATTGGTCTTGTATGCCTACAGCTTGCAGACATAAAAAAAAAGGAAATTTTTTGTAAAAAAAATAAATAAATGAAAAAATAAGTAAAAGCACTTTAGTGGGTTACAGTTCATCATTAAATACCCTATACCGCTTTGTTTAGTACAGTCATTCACAAGACGACCTATTAAGAATGGGCGTTATGAGGGATGTAATGGAAATATTGATCCGATCTGAAGCATTGAACTCATCGTTAGTCTAAAACACGTCAGCATACCAAATTTGATTACAATATCTCGAAAAGGCAACCTGTAGATTGAACGCAAGAAATCAGGACGGACAGACAGACGGGTAAATAAGCTCGGTATAATAAAAGGGTGGTTCTATCTCAAGTCTTTCTGAGTGTTACACACGTCCGCACAAATTTTATAAACCCTTACATCACAAGCGGTGTAAGGTATAATAAGTACCAAAAAATCTTTGCGTGTGTTGTGTGTTTGTTATTAGTTATGAATTTCATTTCTAATCTAATTTGAAAAACCAACAGCATTTCACGAATAACCTAAAAGGGTATATAACCAGAAAGTGCTACCGCCAGCGAATGCAGGTTGAAAAGTGACATCGCCACGAATAGTCCTCACCGGTAAAAAACAAAAAAAAAAATAAAAAAATATATATAAAAAAAAAAATAAAAAAATATTTAAAAAAATTGTTTAAAAATTAAAAAATTTTAGAGAAAAACCAATTCGAGCTTTAATTATTTTATTTTAATTAATTACTTTTCTTTTTCATTTTCTATATAAAATCTAGTCGTGGAGATTTTTGTCGATAAATAAATAAATAAAAATAAAAACAAAGAGGAAAAAAAAAATTTTAAAAATATTTAGTAAAGTTTTTCAAACATGGAAAGGTATAAAGCAAATTGAATACAGTGTTCAAGCGCTATAGTATAACAAAATTTAAAATTTGTCCTACTATTTAAAGCAGCTATGGAGGAGCACCGATTATCGGACCTCATTTTTCCGCCCTTGCAAATGGGTCGGTTACAGACAAGGTAAGCAAGGCACTCACAAATATAATCTAAGCTTTTCAATTTTCTCATTAACTCACGATCTCTCTCTTTGGGGATACGAAAAATTCCAACTCAAAGTCCGTGATATTTAATTTTTTTGGAGACTTTTAATTTATTCACTTTAGGTAAAGACTTTGCATAAATTATTACGAATTGAAATTTTGCTACCGAACGCAAGGGCCGATCTAAAGGTCAAGAACAATGTGATCAGAACTTGGTAATATAGCTTTCCAAGAAATGTTGAACAGTTCGGATAGCTTGACTGAGGCAAAAAGTCAAGAGAGGTCACTTGCACAAATATGTGCAAGTCGTTTACGAAAGTTTTTCGGAAGGGCGCGGGGGCGGGCGTGGACGTTATGCATTTTCAAGCTTATTTTCGAAAATCATTCAAACCTATCTCTGAGTATCTTCAGTTATTTTCCTATAAGCTGCTGGATTCCTTTCGGAGTTCGACAGCATTTTGTTGTTGGAAAGTTAAAGGAGCGATGCTGATCCTTGCTCTCATGGTTTCTACGTTTACTAAAAATGTTCAGGTCTCAGCAATCTCAGCAATTTTTTTTGTAACGTGTCGTAGGTAACACCCGATATGGCACACCTAATTCATCCCTATTGGAATCAATTCCCAGCTATGGATCCAATGTGGAATAAGATACTGACAACGTACATGATTATGATTGGCTGTATCTCGTGGTGTGGAAATGGCGTGGTGATCTACATCTTTTCCACAACAAAATCACTGCGTACACCTGCCAATCTATTGGTCATTAACTTGGCGTTGTCAGATTTCGGAATGATGGTGGTTAACACGCCGATGATGGGAATAAATTTATATTTTCAAACGTGGATATGGGGTCCGGGCGGTTGTGATGCTTATGCTGCCTTAGGTTCAGCATTCGGTTGCAGTTCCATTTGGTCCATGTGCATGATCTCACTGGATCGTTACAATGTAATCGTATTGGGTATGGCGGGTCGGCCGATGACAATTAAATTGGCCTTAATGAAAATCGCATTTATTTGGGCTATGGGCAGTGTCTGGACATTATCACCGATCTTCGGTTGGAGCAGGTAAAAATTGAAAATATGAAAAAATGATTAAGAAATGAATAATAAAAAAAAAAAAACCGAATTCTTTTCGCTTTTCGCAAAAGATACGTACCCGAGGGCAATTTAACATCATGCGGTATCGATTATTTGGAACGCAACTGGAATTATCGCTCCTATTTAATTTTCTATACCATCTTTGTGTACTATATACCATTATTCTTAATTTGCTACTCCTATTGGTTCATCATTGCCGCAGTATCAGCTCACGAGAAGGCCATGCGCGAACAGGCCAAGAAAATGAATGTCAAATCATTGAGATCGTCGGAGGATGCCGACAAGAGCGCCGAGGGCAAATTGGCTAAAGTCGCCTTGGTTACAATTACCTTATGGTTTGTGGCATGGACCCCATACACTATCATCAATATGGCCGGTCTATTCAAATTTGAAGGTCTCACGCCACTAAACACCATCTGGGGTGCATGCTTTGCCAAATCCGCAGCCTGCTACAATCCCATTGTCTATGGCATCAGGTAAGGAAGGCGGAAAAATTCGTTATCTTAATAATTCTTCAATTATTCATAAATCGAAATATTCTCCCGTTAGCCATCCTAAATATCGCGTGGCTTTGAAAGAGAAATGCCCCTGCTGTGTCTTTGGCAAAGTGGATGACGGAAAAGGCGCGGCCAGTGATTCGACCTCACAAGCCACCACAAATGAAGCTGAATCCAAGGCATAAACATCTCGTCGGCCTAATTAAAATAACAATCTGAGACAATTAACAATAATAACACAATCTTATCATGATGACTGCAGCACGGAAAGGAACTAAGCTTTCGTTTAGCAAAACATTTCCTGAGAGTAGAGCAAAAACAAAAACAAAGAACAAAAAACAAAGAAAAAAAAAACAACAAATACAATCGAAACTCGTTATATGAAGAAGAAATATATTGTACACAGATATTTTATTAATTATATTTAATAATTTATAAATAATTGTTAATTAACTTGTGCAATGTCGTTAAAGACTAAAAAATGTGAAAAAAAAAATTAACATATAAATGAATAAAAAAAAAAAAAAAAAACAAACAAGCAGCATACCAAAGTCAAGAGAGAAAAAAATTGGAGAAGAAAAGAAGATATTTGTCATATTTTATTTCTTGTTACTTGGGGAAGCAAAAAAAAAATAATTTCCCCATGTCCTCCAAGCAACGAGAAGCATAGCGCGGTCAAGAATTGAAAATCTAATAAAACTGGCCACGATTCAAAAACCTAATGCCTTGCCTTAAATTTGTCGAAGAAATCATTGCTCACAAATTTTGAGAACAGTATGACATAAGAGATGCATAACATTCAAGTAACATTTTCCTACTCTTTGATGACAGTGGTATAGCATCAGTTCCGCAGCAGTTATTGCAGACTCAAAGCAAATGTCAACTACAGTATAGTAAATGCAAAAAAAAAAAAAAGAAACCAGTACTCATCCTCAGAGGTGGACAAAAATCTTTCACTCCAAAAGGAAAAAAATTTTCTCTTCCAAGTATCCGTCTGGCTGGCCTGTCAGAAACTTATGGTACAAGGACATATTCTTCAGCAAAAACAACTTGGGACAGACACACCATTGTGGGGAGTGGAACTAAGCGATCCTTATGAGAACATAGGATATGCCGAAACACTCATTTTTTCGTAGTTCTCTCTATAAAGGTGGACATTGCTTTTATGGCTCTCACTATCGAGAGTCGCATAGTCGATGGCAACGAAGGGGTTAAGGTTTGCTATTTATAATCTGGCGACTGTTTTTTTTTTGTTTTGGAAGCCTAAGAAGAGTATATTTTCTTCACCCTTTTGGTTCTCTCTTACGGAGGTCAGATCGAAATGATGGCCGGCGTTATTTAACAGGGCTGGCTGTGATGACAAGCTTGGAAGCATTATATATTCGGGAAAAGAAGCATCTGAGAGTAATAAAAGAGCGAGTGCGAATTTGTTCTTGTTTGATTACAA